ACCATTTTCGGCTTCACTCGTTTGCCGGATCGAATATCGGCGCCGAATTTGAGCGTCAGCGGAATTTCGGCTTTCGCCAGCACCGACCGAATTTAGGCGCCGAATTTAAGCTTCAGAATTTAAGCTTCAGGGGGGGGGACGAAACCGGGACCCACTTCCCCGGGTCCCTGTATATATGAATGCGATCAGCTGAAATTGCCTAATGAGGGTCGGATCGGATATACGAAATCAACCGCAGCAGATGGCATTAAGCTATGCAGCTATGAGATACACCGAAGCAGGGGTTTATGATATGGGGTCAACTGCACGCGACGGGCGAATTTGAGATGTGAGATCAAGCGCCATCGCCTGCCGGGACAGACGGGTTCAAGATGTGAGTGACGCGGGGTCGGGTTTAAGGCATGAGCTTGACTGCTATCGCCTAGTGAGGGTGCGATTTTAAGATATGCGACGAGCAGGCGACCTTTGCAAACTGTCAAGCTCGAGACTTTCGTACCTTGAAGATGATCGAATGTTCGACCTCTCGAGCATTCTGACTCTCAAACTTGGAGAGCCGATCGAACTCGGCCACAGCTCAAGATTGGCGCTGCTGGTCGCAAATCTGGGACTCTCCCCATCGTTGGCGATAACAGTTTAGCTCACATCTTAAACCCTACCCCCGGAAGACGATGGCGCTTGATCTCGTATCTTGAACCTGTCCCCTCAGCAGGTTATGGCGGTTGATCTCACGTCTCATACCCGCCCCCTCATTCGGCGACTCCTCATGAGGCGATGCCGACTGATCCCATGTCGCAAACTCGCCCTCGAATTACACGATGGTGGTTGAGTTCCTCTCTCCAGTTCGCCCCCTTGTGATCCCGTATCAGTATCTGTCAGCACGGTGCATCCGCCCCGTCATTAGGCGAGTGTGGTTGATCCCATATCTTATCTTATGTCCACAATCTCTGGGTGTAGGTGGGTGAGTGGGTGGGATGGGGGGTGGGTGGGAGAGCACGCAAAAGCACCAAAACCCATCAAATGCAGCACTCTCGCAAAGCCTCTGCAACACAGCTAGTTTTGCAGTGCAAAGTTTCAAGACCATCTACGCACCACCAAGCCGGTGCCTGCGGAAACAAAGGCCAAGCCAGTCTCGTGCTTGTAAGATTGGATACACATAATCAAGAAGGAGCTGGTGCCCTCATCAAGTTCATATCGCACTGTTCTAAGCCCGAGCGCGGACATTGACGGTGGGATGTGTCGGGTCCCGTCTTTTTACTGCAAATGCGACAGCAGAAGTGCAGCGTAAATTCCACGCTGCCCGTGCAATGATTTCAGGCCAGATGTCCGTCAGCCCCGCGCTCAGCTGAGCTGTCGCTGCTTTCACCCAGAGAGGCTCGCTTTGCAGGTTTCCAGTTCGGGGCGAATGCGCTTTGCACTTACGTTTACGAATTGGTCCGAAAGCATGTGGTTATCTTTCTAGCTACTTGATTTTGATGGTCCGAGGATACTTGGAGAAATCAATGAGACCGACATATATGGGTACGGTATCTTTCTCGCCGACAACTGCAGCCGGCCAGATCCCCACAAAGAGGAGCAAGGGAGATTGTCACCGTGCTTCCCCTTTGCCAGGCCCGTGAAGAGCGATCCAGTAGGCTACATCGAGAAGATGCGTGAGCCTCGTCTTTGAACCTGCGATTTCCAGCCAAGATAGGCCAGTGACACTGTTCGACTGACGCATCTCGGCGCGCTTGCGTTATCAGCACTCTTGGAATGGTACCTCTATGATGCGGCTCTGCAACGCAGGGCGCTGTGAGAGGTGCAGGAAGCATGCGAGCAGAAGGTATCAGAAGGGTTTTCGACGAAGTATTGAGAGCGAGAATTCAGTGTCAAGTTTGCAGGTAGTTTGGTCCTTGGTCCTTGGCCAAAGGTTTGTGTGTTTCCAGCTTAAGCACCTAATGTTTTGCAGGATTCGACTGAGCTGAATACTGAAGCCGTCCGTGAAGACAAGCGTACCGTGTGCTCAATCCAGCTTCGAGTCGTTGAAGCAAATTCTGAGGACGAGTTAAGGGGTAGGGATTGAAGTGTGTCCCAAGAATGACTCATCCCTTCGCCGTCTTTCAGTTGCGTCATGTGTCATTGCGAATAGTCTACTTGCTTGGCCCAGGGATCCGTATCCCTTCGACGAGAGGTGTTGCACCTTGCTGCAGCCTTAGTCCTTAAGCCTTGGGTGCTTCACCGTGAGCATGTCCACTGTACGAGTTTGTCAGCGAGGTTCTTGTCCTGAAATGTCTGCTCTGTTTACCAAGGAACGCTTATCAGGTGAGCGTTACGTGCTGTGCTAAGTCCTAAAAGGGAGGAGCTGGCATACGTGCATCATATTCTCAAAGCCGTTGGATCTTGTGTTCAGGTTTGAGTTGCCCCCGAACTCCTACAGCGCGGTCCTGATGGCGCGGCAACTCGGGTGGATTGCACGTGCGGAGTTCGGAACATGTCGGAACCCAGGTCCGAGTGAACACCTCGCTGGGCTTCCTGCCAGTTGGCGCAGCCACGCCGGACTGACATCTTGTCAACCAACTTACAAGCTCTGCGGCGCCAGTGCAGCGCAGGAGATCTTTGACATGAACGCGTCAATGATCGGCACGGCTGATGCTATGAGGCAGCCTAGCTTCGCTTGAGGAGGTTGTGTTCGCAGTGACATGCCTTGCAGGTACTCGCTCAGCTTTTCCCGGGTGCTTTGCTTGCTTGTGGTATTGCCTTGGGCTCTGATCCTTCGATCTGCCCCGGCAGCGTGCAGCATGGGACTTCTCTAGAATTTGCCACAGCTTCGGCCCGTAAGGTCCCAGATGGCTTACGCTTGAGCGACCGCTTTGCAGAGCAGCTTCGAAGCTGTGGTTTTGAGAGCTCAGCTCGCGACATCTGTTACACGGTTGATTGCAGTAGGTACTTCGACACTTCGATTCGACTAGTACGGCCGTTCATGAGCAGGGCCCCGAACGGAGCTGACGGTTAGCCAGAGCTATTTGGGGCCTTCGCTCCTTTAGTTCCAACAAAATAAGCGTGCCTGCGTTACCTCGGCTTGTGGAATTGGATCGGGGCCCGCTTTGGTAATTTCTCGTAGGTGTCGTGAAAGGTTGACCGGTCTGTTCAGGTACAACAGCCTACAGCGAACTGTGAAATTTGGGTCTTTCGACTTTTTTTTAATGTCCCAACCTTACAGACGCTTCTTACCTTACTGTTAGTTCCTTGTCATTGTCTCCTGACCCATAATATCTATAATGTAGTGTGTGCCACACGACCTGACCTAATTCGTCATAAACAAAGGAAGATGAACAAAGAGAGCGCATGCCTTGTTTATATTAAGTTAGACCTTTGGTGAGCGAACGGAAACAGAAAGCGTCGCGAGATTCCATTCATAGTTTCGAGTCCGTCCCAAAATAGTCCCGCGACGAAGCCCGTGAAGGAGTGCCGTTGCAAACTAGATTAACCTGCGAAGAGCACGCTCTCAGTAGGAAACAGCCAGTAGTAACAGTAGTGAGAACAAGGTTAGTTGCGAGTTCAATTCCGAATTCTGGACGGCAAAGCCGTGCAGGCGTCTGCATGCAGTCTATGCATGGCAAGTAGCTCTTGTCGAATCTGCCCCGAAGGGGCATCGATGGATATCCACGTGTGATGGGAAGACGGCGCCAACGGGTAGTTTCAGCTCCGGTCCATTCCTGGTCGATGGTCGCTGTATCAGCTCTTTCTTATCGGCCGCTGTCAACTTCCTGCTCCAGAAGCCAGATAGACCACCAAGAACAAGACCGGATAAGACCGGGATCTTGGTGCACGTTCATGCTTCGGCCACACGCAACCCCCTGTCCATTGAAGTCGTGTCTGAAACGGCCTGAGCCAGCTTGGACAGTCCGTCGTTTGGACATTTTGGACCGATAGATCGACTTCGACTAAGACTAAGAGCATCAAGCATTGACCGGGCTCTACTGCAGCGACACATAAGACTCTGTTTCAGTCACTCTGTCTCTTGTTGTGCTTCGTGATCTCCGGATCGCACGCTATGCTTTGTTTGGAATGAGCAGCTTGGAAGTTGATAGTTGTCCAAAGGCTGGGGGTTACTTGCACACTGCTTGCAAATGTTGCCCAGGTCGGCCAGGAAGCCGGGAGCCACTTCCCAGGCTGGGCTTTCCGTGAGCATTCGATGCTTCGTTGCTGTGTTCATTCCAGCACGCCTCCAGGATCCGCTTGAGGTCTAGACATTCGAGGTCCTGCAGGAACAGGACCGCACGCTCATCGCTGGATTTCCCAGTTGCAGTGATTGACGTGATCAAGCAGAGAGAAGAGGAGCAGAAGCCCACTACCACGGGCATCACGCAGCGGATGCAGCTTGGCAGCGAAAGCGCGGTAACGGCATCAATCTTCACGTGGTATGGACACCGCCCAGGTGGGGAGCGTGGAGTCCGTCATCGGCATTCATCGCGCTTCGGAAATCCTCAGGAGGCTGAGGTGCCGGGATTAAATTAAAGTGATAGAAACACAATGTAATGTCAATTAGCCGCGGCTTGTAAACGACTGCTTCATTGTGTGGACTGTCAATACTTCATACAGCGCCAGGAGTTGGACCAATCGGTCGTTTATCGTTGTAGTTAATCAGCATACTCTACGAAGACGACGAACACAGGCTACGCTCTCTCTTCCCTGTCCCTTTCGCTGTCTCGCCCCCACTGCGCTCTGTCTCGGTCGGTCATAGCCCCCCTTTTAAATTGGAGGATCGAGGGGGGGAGTCGAAATTCGATTTTCGGATTTTCCTCTTGGTTTTGGGGGTGTGGGGGGGGGGGNNATACTCGATCCTTAATAGATTTAATATGATTTAATAGATACAATGTAAGAGATATAGATAGATATATATATATATATATAGAGAGAGAGAGAGAGAAGAAAGGGAGCTACAGTTTGTGCTGTCATGTAGTATGTGCGTATCTGCTTCAATCTGGCCTGTGCATCCGTAGGCATTTTGCCTTTGAGCCTCGTCCTAGGAAGGCCTCCAGGATCACTTCAACAGCATTCCTCATGCATACAGGACAGTCGAGCAGACAGTTTCAGAAGGTAGCATTCGGCAGAGATTACAGGGGCAGAAGCTTCGGACAGCATCGCTCTCATGAG